TTCACATTATGTTAACATTGTTATTTTTCAAATTATTTCAAATGACCATGAACTGCTTTAGCTTAAAGGAGAGAGAGAGAAAAAAAAAAAAAAAGACCCTTACAGTCTCATTTTCAAATGATGGTGGACCAATCAGTGCTATTCCCCTTCAGGGATCAGTCAAGAATGGGACAGATGGCTGTTTGCCCTAACTTTGACACTGGACTTCATCTATTTCTTTAGAAATGGGATATATCCCATGATTTAAACTGGGACGTGTGGGTGCAGTTTAATGAGTTGTAGCCTGCTTAAACTAAAAAAGAAAATTAAAGGTTTTAATAATAACCCTTTACAACAGTAAAAGTTTGTGGAGTGCATATTCCAGAAGGGTTTCTGTGCATTACCAGCATTTCAAACTGTTCTCTAGGAATGAACAATTTTTAAAAAATAAGCTGGGATCAAATCACACAGACTGCACTACAGGCAACGTACTGGCATCCTTGCACTTCCATTTCCTCATTTTTTAAAATGGGTACACCCACAGTTCAGCAAGCTTTTCTTTTAACCCCTTGTGAAAGCACCAGAAATCAAGGCACTTAAAAAGTCATTGCACATCCTCAAATAGCTACCTACCATGACCCAGCAATTCCACTAAATATCTATCTACTCACGAGTAAATGTCTATACAAAATAACTTGTATGTGAATGTTCACAGTGGCCAAAGTGGAAACACCCCAAATATCCACCAACCAATGAATGGATAAATAAAATGTGTAATGTGTTCACATAATGGAATATCATTCAGTCATAAAAAGAATGAAGTACTGATTCATACAATAGCAAAAACCTTGAAAACATACTGAAAGAGATCAGATATAAAAAGCTATATATTGCATAATTCCTGAAATACTCAGAAGAGACAAATTTATAGTGACAGAGAATAGATTGGTGGTTGCCAGGCCTTGCGGGGGGCGGGGGGGGGGTACAGAGAGTGGCTATAAAGGGGTTTATTTTTGTATGAATGTAAATGTCCTAACATTGGTTGTGGTGATGACTGCACAACTCTGAATATACTACAAACTACTAAATTATACACTTTAAACTGGGGAACTGCATTGTGTGTGAATTCTATCTTGATAAAGCTGTTACTTCTTTAAAGAAGAATATTTGAGGAAACACCTGAGTAGCTCAGTCAGTTAAGCGTCCGTCCGACTTCAGCTCAGGTCATACATGATCTCATGGTTCTGGGATCAAGACCTGCCATCAGACTCCTTCCTAAGTGGGGAATCTAGTCTACATGTCCCTCTCCCTCTCACCTTCACTCATTCTCTCAAATAAAATCTTAAATATATATATATACTTATTATTTTAACAGTGTAATGCCTAAGTTATACACAATTTGTATTCAGTACATATTTGGAAACGGATATGTTAGTAAAGAACAAACTCACCAAAGAAAAGTCACATGCAAATACCTTTTTATCTTTCTTTTGCACAGTTAAAAGCTCGGGTACTAATCGCTGAAATTGGGCAATCACATACACACGAAACCCGAGTATTAAAAAGAAAACGCTCAATGCTAAAAAAAAGTTTTTATTGACAAGATTAGATTCACATTTAGAAGTGCTGCCCATACATGTTTATTACCCACTTCATCTCCCTCTTAAAATACTTTTCCCAGGCCAGTATTGAACCATAGCCCAAACCCACTCACCACATTTCAAACTAAGTGGGAAATGTACAGTAGACAGTGCACAGAAGCAACTGCATGCCACATTGCCAGGACTATAAATAAGTTCACTCCAATTTCTGGACTTTAGTATCCTAGTTAAAATTCACATTACTTGTAAATCACTACAAACCAATTATGTCCCCTCCTAACAATTTAAGGGGAATTATTTGCATTTGGTATTAGGGACATGCCAAATTCCTCCTGTACAATTATCTCTCCAGTTTGTTCACTCAAAGAATATTTAAGGTACTCTTCTGGGATGTAACAATTAAAATAGGCAAAACCAAGCAAACATAATCCTGCCTGCATGGAACTTACATTCCACTAAAACAAACAAAAAAATTAAAATTTTATTTTTTACAAACTCATGACTTATGAATTTAAAATGAACTGTCAGCACCTGCAAAGAATCCCATTTCTCACTTTGCAAACACGCAATCTTTGCTAAACACCAGAAGTCACAAAGACTTATGAAATATTAGTAGCAGTTTCCAATGGCAAACTTTTCTTTCCTTTTTATACACTTCCCAGGAACATGAAGACAAACATGATCTACAAGTTTATTAAGAATCAGAAATGAAATACTTTACAACTGTGACAGATGACAGTGGGTTGTCAAAAGATTTAACAGCCCAGAATCTGCAAATCATTGAAGTACCAAATGGTTTTGCTTTAAATTAAGAACAAGGACTCCAACCTCCTTCCAAATCCGTAAATCTCAAGTCATTCAATAACCTGAATTGTGTAACAGAAAAATATCGCATCCTCCCAACCTCCAAGAACAAAAGTGCAATTAAGTACAAAGATCACAACAACTGGCTCAAAAAGGTAACTTTTGGAAACAAAGTCTAAATTCCTCTAAGCAATTCAATAATTTAGTGGAAATTTTACAAAGTGGCCAATAATTATCTTGCAATTCTTTGGTAATTTCTTTTTTCTACCACCATCCAAGCTAAGGGGAAGCTAGCCATACTGACACCCTAAACAGCCAACCTATCCTTAAAATATAGCCACTTTCAAGTTCCAACTTTTCATTTGTAGGCAGAGCTCCGTATCTTTCACAAATTAGCTGGGGCTGAATTCTATCTAAAAACACACAGGTGGGCTCACTTTCCAGACCAAAGTAAAGTGATCTTATTAAGAGATTTACTCCACAGCTTGAGCCCGTAGATACTACTAAAAACAGAAGTATGGTGGATAACTGGGGAGAAATGCATTTTGTTTCAGGTCATGCTCTTCCTTCTATAGTCAACAGAAACCGTCTGAGAGGTTTATCTTCCCCAGGTTGAAGTTTTGGGGGAAAACCGGTTGGTTATCTATTATACCTTGAAAATAGATAATCCCCATCCAAATTAAACCAAAAAGAATGCTTTATTAAATTACTGGCAAGGTCATAAAACAGATTTTACCATCCAAAGTCTACCTGGTATTGAAAACACATTCATAAATCCTGCCGAGTATCGCTTTCTTTAGCACTTTCAAACTACAAACTCTAAGGACTCACAACTCAAGGAACTTGACAGCCCCATTCATAAAAATATCCCAACCATGATTACAGCACGAAAGAGCCACTGGCTTAGAGGTACACTGAGACTCACTCTCTGTAAACACAGACAAGTAGAGCCGTCTCAGAGGGAAGCAAAAACACGTCAATTCTCACGAAACAAAAATTCCAAGAGGTCACTTCTTGCATCCAACACACATATAAATGAACCCAAAGACCAGGGCCATAAACTCCACCAGGTTGCAGAAAACATTAAATGAGTAAACAAATGAGAATAACATTTCAAAAAAAACAACAACAACGCGTGGTCTTCAGTATATGCGAGGTCAGCCACTCAGCGAAAGCACATGACTCATCCACGGGCCTGAATATAAGTATTCACACTGTCCACTACACCAAAGTGGGATTTCCCATTTTCGTCCAAGGCCGGGCCTTGGGGGCAGCCCGGTTGGGTAAAGTTGTGCTGTTTCCGTGCGGGGGGGGGGGGGGGGAGAAGAGGGGGGGTGTCATTTTATTTCGCTGAATCACAACTCCCCCACATCCACACCCCAAACCACCACCCCGCACAACACCGCGAACAGACGAGGCCGTGGCAAGGACGCCAGCGAGCACCGACCGAGCAAAACAAAGCGCCCGGCGCAGGGCTGCCAGGTTGGGGGTGGGTGGGTAGAGGGGGTCAGATTCGCCCCCACACAGCACCGCTCCCACCCCCGGGAGTGTCTCCGGCAGGCGTGCGGCGGCAGCCTCCTCCCTCCGCCCGGGGACCAGCCCCATTCTCCGCAGAGCTCCGGGGACGGCCGGGAAGGCGAGGAAATGGGGGCGGGGGCGCGCTGCCCCAATCCGGGCAGGACGACCCAGGCGCGGAGGGGGGGGGAGGGGGCGCTAAGCCCAGCCCACGTGAGCGTCTGGGCCGGGGCCGAGCCAGCCCCCGGGACGGCGGTCGGAGACAGCGGCGCCCGCGGCCACCACGCCGGGCCCGGACTTACCGGGGCCGGGCGCGCCGCGAGCCCCGCGGCGGCCGCTTCCTCCTCCTCCTCCTCCTCCTCACTTGACAAAATGGCGGCGGCAGGAAGTGCCGGGCGCCTCGGCCCGCCCCCCGCCCGCCCCCGGCCACCCGCCCCGCCGCGGCGCCCGCGCCCCCCGCCCGCGCCCCCGCCCCGCCGGCCAGCCCAAGCCGGGGAGCGGCGGCGCCAACCGCCGGGCACCCGCGAGCGCCCCGGCCGCTCCGACGCCAACGGCGCAGGCCGCCCCGGCCCGGCGCAAGCGGCACGGCGCGCGGACGCGGGAGGCCCGCAGGCCCGAGCCCGCGTCGCCCCGGCCTCCCCGCCCCCGCGCCGCGCCGATGGCGTAGGTGCTGGCGCACCGGCCCCATTACGCAATGCAGGTTACGCGGGCCGCGCCGCGGGCCCCCGCCGGCCGCCCCGCGCCGCCCGCCGCCCCGAAGGGCACTGGTCCTCACCTGAGACGCTAGGCCGCACGCCACCCCCGCCGGCCGCCGGCCGCCGCCGCCGCCCCCTCCTCTCCGGGCTGCCTGCGCGGCGCCGGGGCCCGCCCGCCGCGCCCGCCGCTCCGCCGCGCTCACAGGCCCCGCTCGCCTGCGGGCACCGCCGGCAGCCGCCGCCGCCGCAGCCACCGCTTCGGCTCCTCGGCTGCGGGAGAGCAGAACAAACAGCCCTGCCGCCGCCGCCGCCGCCGCCGCCGCCGCCGCCGCCGCCAGCGCACTGACGTCACCGCGTACGTTGCGCGCGCGGCCCCGCGCCGCCGCCCGGCGTGCGCGCCCCGCGACCGCGCCGGGCGCCAGCGAGCTGCGGAGAGCTGCTCGCCGGCGCGAGGTAAAGGGGGAAGCCCTGGGCGACGGAGAGGTCGCCGGGACCTGGCCGGCCCAGGTCGGGGTGCCTGCGGACGGCGGGCGTGACCCTGCGGGCCACGGGAGAGGCCGGAGGGGAGACGTTCCGGCGGGAGGCTGGGACGGGGGAGGAGCGTCCAGGATTTAAGAAGGGTCCGCAGATGAGACCCGCAGCGAGAGGGAGGAAGGCGACGAGCGACGGCAGAGGCGAGCCCCCCAGGTGGGCAGGTGGCGGGGTGCTGCGGGAGGCGGGGACGCTTCGGCCGGCGAGCGGCGCTGGGGCGCCTGGCGGGGGCGGCGGGGGCGGCGGGGCGCCGGGCCGCGGCGGCGTCAGTCTCAGCCCGCCTGCTGCTGGGAGGCGGGGGCTGCAGGTGCTGGGCCGCGAGTCTGCGAGACACCGCCGGGGCCGGCGGGGTGGGGGGTGGGGGGGCGGGGGGGCGTTAAGGCTCAGGTCCCTGGCAGTTTATTTTTTATTTTTTTAGACATTTCATTTATTTATTCACGAGAGACACAGAGACCCAGGCAGAGGGAGAAGCAGGCTCCACGCAGGGAACCCGACGTGGGACTCGATCCCGGGTCTCCAGGATCAGGCCCCCCCGGGCTGAAGGCGGCGCTAAACCGCTGAGCCACCCGGGCTGCCCCTCGCTTGCAGTTTAAAATGAGGATTCTGGGCGCCTGGCTGGGTCAGGGGGGAAGACCTCGTGACTCTGGATCGCAGGGTCGTGGGTTCGAGCCCTGTGTTGAGCTGAGAGCTTACTTTAAAAAAAAATTTTTTTTTAATTAAAAAAGGATTCCGTTAGATGTTTCAAACGGGGAAACAAAATTTTATTTTCATTTTCACTCTTATCTTCACTGTTTTAGCACTTTTATTTTTTTGCTTTAAAGATTTGCGGCAGCCCGGGTGGCTGGGCGGTTTAGCGCCGCCTTCAGCCCGGGGCGTGATCCTGGAGTCTCGGGACCGAGTCCCACGTCGGGCTCCCTGCGTGGAGCCTGCTTCTCCCTCTGCCTGGGTCTCTGTGTCTCTCTCTGTGTCTCTCATGAATGAATAAATAAGATCTTTTTTAAAACATAAAGATTTTATTTATTTTGAGAGCGAGCGAGAGAACATGAGCAGGAGGAGGCACGCAGAGAAACGGAGAAGGAGAATCCCAAGCTGATGCCCCACCCAGCCCAGAGCCCCCATGCAGGGCTCTATCTCACAACCCTAAGACGAAATCAGAAGTCCCATTCTCAACCACCAGAGCCACCCAAAACCCCCCACTTTTAGTACTTTTAGCCCCATCTTTTAGAGATCACAAATTCCGTTCCTCTAAAAAGTCTAGGTTATTTTAAAAAGTCCCCAATGGCCCCTTCTTCCAAAATATATCACTACACTCGGATAGCAGTCAAATAGTTTTGTCTGTATAATGGTATTTGCTCAGGCTTGAAAGGCAATCATAAATCACTGATGGGTCCTGGGCAAAGTAAAGACTTAAGTTTATCTGTTATTTTAGCAAAGCATGAGATAACAAGTGCGAGAAATAAAGGAAGTGATTGTAATTGGTTCATTAATCAACTTTCTTCTAATTATGTATTACAGAACATTAGAATTTCTGAATGTCTTCTGGTTTCTTATTTTGCATACTCAACAATTTGTGGAAGATGATCAGAAATGGAAAAAGAATAGAAAAGTACACAGGGCTATGTAAATATGGAATAACAATTTTTTTTTCTTTTTTAAGGAAACCAGAATGTATCCATTTTAAGTTGTCCTTCCCATGTTTGTCTTCTTGTATTATATACTTAATTTGTTGTTGTAGCTGATAATATTTTTGGAAGTAATTTGGAGCTGCCAGTTTGCAAGTTGTTTTACTTGAATCACATTTCATTTAAACAAAACTAACATCCAACTTGATTTACTGGCCCCAAGTGCAGGGCTTTTCAGCTGTTACTAGAAGTCAAATCCAACCTGAAGAGAATATGCAAAACAAACAAACAAAAAAAAAGAATATGCAAACTGTAAAGGCAGTTCCAAAAGCTGTTTCCAAAAATCTTTTAGGACAACAATGTCCTGTTCTTCTTGTCTTCCGTAGTGCAGACCCTAACTCCTTACAGCTTAAACTCAGAAAATGTTTATCCCATTGAATCAGTTTCATAAAAAGTCTTGGGTCTTTTTTGTTTTTGTTTTAAAGATTTTATTTATTTATTCATGAGAGACAAGAAGAGGCAGAGACACAGGCAGAGGGAGAAGCAGGCTCCCTGCAGGGAGCGGCACATGGGACTCCATCCCAGGTCTCCAGGACCACACCACGGCCTGAAGGTGGCGCTAAACCGCTGAGGCACCTGGGCTGCCCAAGTTTTTATTTTTTTATTTTTTTATTTTATTTTTTTAAAGATTTTATTTATTTATTCATGAGAGACACACACACACAGAGAGAGAGAGGCAGAGACACAGGCAGAGGGAGAAGCAGGCTCCACACAGGGAGCCCGATGTGGGACTTGATCCCAGGACTCCAGGGTCACACCCCGGGGCAAAGGCAGGCGCCAAACCACTGAGCAACCCAGGGATCCCAGTTTTGTTTTTTTAATGATTCGCATAATAAGCTCTCTTTCTCTTGTTATTACTGTGTTTGCAATACTAAAAATCAGAAGAGATCAATAAAAAATTGTTTTAATATTTATTCATGAGAGAGAGAGAGAGAGGCAGAGACATAGGTAGAGGGAGAAGCAGGCTCCCTGCAGGGAGCCCGATGTGGAACTCGATCCCAGGACTCCAGGATCACTCCCTGGGCAGGCGCTAAACCGCTGAGCCACCGGGCTGCCCAAAGATGTCAAGGACCCAGGGATCCCCGAGATCAATAAAAATATTAAGGAATGAGACATAAGTACATACTAATTTTCTGAATGGCTTTAAATATGCATTATTTGGGGGATCCCTGGGTGGCTCAGCACTTTATCGTCTGTCTTTGGCCCAGGGCCTGATCCTGGAGTCCAGGGATCGAGTTCCTCATCCGGCTCCTTGCATGGAGCCTGATTCTCCCTCTGCCTGTCTGTCTGTCTGTCTCTCTCTCTCTCTCTCCCTGCCCCCTGTCTCTCATGAATAAATAAAATATTAAAAACAAATAAATAAAGATGCATTACTCATTGTAAATAACACATGAAACCATTCTAACTGAACAATACAAAAGAATACAGAAGTAAAATAAAGTATCCCTCTTATCTCTTCCCCTCTTTTCCCAGAGTATCCAATGCTGTCACTTCAATGTGTTTTAGACCTATGCCGTCTGGTAGGACCACATGTGGCTACTGAGTGCTTGATATGTAGCTGGCCCAAATTGAGATGTGCTGTAAGTATAAAATACACATTACATTTCAAAGATTTAATAGGAAAAAACGTAAAATATCATAATTTTTTTGTATTGATCACATGTTGAAATAATGTTTTGTATATTGGGTTAAATAAAATATATTATTAAATTTAATTTTGCCTGTTTTTTTCTTTTTAATGTAGACTAGAAAAAATAAAATCACATATACAGCTTGCAACATATTTCTATTGAACAGTACTGGTCTGGGTTTTTTTAATTGTTTTATTTTTTTATTATTAAAGATTTTATTTATTTATTCATCAGAGACACACAGAGAGAGGCAGAGACATAGGCAGAGGGGGAAGCAGGCTCCATACAGAAAGCCTGATGTGGGGCTCAATCCTGGGTCTCCAGGATCACACCCTGGGCTGCAGGTGGCGCTAAACCGGTGCACCACTGGGGCTGCCCTGGATTTTTTTTTTTTTTTTTAATTTGTGACAACATTTTTTTTTTTTTTTTTTTTACCTAAGCTCTATGGCCAACATGGGGCTTAAACTCACAACCCCAAGGTCAAGAGTTGTATGCTCTACCAACTGAGCCAGCCACAGGTCTCTTGGTCTTTTTTTTTTTTTTTTTAAGTATAGTTGACACACCATGTTATATTAGTTTCAGGTGTACAACATAATGATTCCACAACTCTATTACACTGTCTAGACTTTTCTATGCATCAATATGTATCCATAGAAATAGTTGTTATAAAACAAAAGGAATCATTCTGTGCTTGTTAATTTGTAGCATTCTTTTTTTCATTTAATACATCTTAGAAGAGGGCGGGTGGCAGCCCGGGTGGCTCAGCGGTTTAACGCCTGCCTTCAGCCCAGGGTGTGATCCTGGAGTCCCGGGATCAAGTCCCACCACCGGCTCCCTGCATGGAGCCTGCTTCTCCTTCTGCCTGTGTCTCTGCCTCTTTCTCTCTCCCTGTGTCTCTCATGAATAAATAAATAAAATCTTAAAAAAAAAAAAACATCTTAGAAGGCATTCTACATGAGCTCTGCTAGTAGGAAGATAACTCCAAATGATGTACAGTATGTTATCTGGTAGGAGTAGATCATAATTTACTTAACCATTCCCCTATATTGAACATTTAATACATTTCTAGTTTTTCCATCATTAATAGTATTACAATGGACAGCCTATACATTTACCATTTTCCTTTCATACTTGCCAGCATCTTTCCAGGTTAAAAACATCTGGGGCACCTGGCTGGCTCAGTGGGTGAAGCATGCAACTCTTAATCTCAGGATTGTGGGTTCACACACACACGGGGGGGGGGGGGGTAGAGATCACTTTTTTAAAAATCTTTTTAAAAATTAATGTTTTCTTAAAAGCAAAGATAAATTTATAAAAGATGAGTTTTGGAAAAGCTGGAGGTGTTTGATTTGTTATGGCCTGAATCCATGCTCACTTTGGTTTTTTTTGAAAGATTTTATTTGTATATATTTAATTAAAATTTTAAAAAAAAGTTTATTTTTTTTTAAATTTTATTTATTTATTCATGACAGAGAGAGAGAGAGAAAGGCAGAGACACAGGCAGAGGGAGAAGCAGGCTCCATGCAGGGAGCCCGATGTGGGACTCGATCCCAGGTCTCCAGGATCACACCCCATGCTGAAGGCAGCGCTAAACCGCTGAGCCACCGGGGCTGCCCCTAAAAAAAGTTTATTAATGAGAGACACAGAAGCAGAAACCTAGGCAGAGGGAGAAGCAGGCTCCTCGCAGGAGCCTGATGCAGGACTCGATCTCGGATTCCAGGATCACAACCTGAGCAGAAGGCAGCCACCCAACCGCTGAGCAACCCGGGTGTCCCCCCCCCAAAAAAAAAATATTTAAAAAAATAAATAAAATGATTGAATCAAATGATGAGCAGTAGATGAGCATTCCCACTACTATTCTTTGACCTCCAGATTCCTTCTGGAGCAGTTTTATTCTATGTGCAACATCTGCATTTTCTTTCCACTTTCAAACTTTAATCACTTTTTTTTTTAATTGCAATTATATGGCTCTTCACACTAGGTCTTCCAGTATCATTATTTTGAGTGTGATAGTGAATGATATTTGTTAAGCCCTCCAAAACCAAAAAACACAGCAAAATACAAATGAACATAATAGCAGAGACTAAAAATTACCCTTAGGACTATCCTGCACCTGTTTGTGGCTGCCAGAATTGCAGTATTCTACTCTGAAGCTTATTTTTGTTTCCAACTAGTTTATGAGTTAAAACCTGGCAAGCATAATGGTGCATGTCATTACACATTTGTCATAAGTCAGAACAGGGGCGCCTGTGTAGCTCAGTTGGTTAAGCATCTGCCTTGGGCTCAGATCGTGATCCCAGGGTCCTGGAATTGAACCCCACATGAGGCTCCATGCTCAGCAGGGAGCCTGCTTCTCCTTCTCCCTCTGCCCCACCCGTGCTCACTCTCTCAAATAAATAAATAAAATCTTAAAAAACCAACCCATAGAATATAAAACACAAAGAGTGAGCCCTAACGTAAACTATAGGCTTTAGTTAATAATCACATATCCATGTTGGCTTATCAACTGTAACAAATGTACTGCGCTATGCATACTAATAATGGGGGAAGTGGATTGGGGAAGTAAGGGAGTATATGGGAACTCTGTACTTTCCACTCAATTTAAACATAAATCTAAAACTGCTAAAAACGAAAGAATTAACAAAAAATGCAAGCAGGATAGCTTCTTATTATGGTAAGGAAGTTTCCATTTTGTACACTTGAGAGTCTAGAGCAGGGATCAGCAAACTAATGCCTGTGGGACAAATCTAGACTGCTCTCTGTATATGTACAGTCTTCCAGCAAAGAGTGGTATATATGGCATAAATAATTTATTACATATTCATATAATACATATATATTTATATATAAATAATAACTAATATAAATAAATATATACAGGGGCACCTGGGTGGCTCAGTGGTTGAGCATCTGCCTCCGGCTCAGGTTGTAATCCCAGGGTCCTGGGACCGAGTCCCGCAACAGGCTCCTGCAAGGAGCCTGCTTCTCCCTCTGCCTGTGTCTCTGCCTCTCTCTCTGTCCCTCATGAATAAATAAATAAATCTTTAAAAAAAAGTTTTGTTTTTTTTTTTTTGTTCAGTCATTTAGAAAACAGTTTAGCCTTATCTGGTGAAGTTGAAGCTGTACATACTCTGGTCCACTAGTTCCAGTCCCTTGGAAACTTGCTGATCTGCTGAAGAAGGTTCGGAACAGCTCTGCTCAGAAGATCCCACCCTGAAGACAAGCCAAATGTTCCCCCACAGCAAGATGGATTGTATATATATATATATACATGAAATATTATACATAATATAATGAAAATGAACTAACCACCACCACATGGGACAACATGGATGAATTTTGCAAACTGTGGAATCAAAGAAGCAAGGCCTATGAAGCATATATGACGATTCCATTGCTATGTTGATTTTTAAAACAAAAATAGACTGAAGTTTTTAGGGAAATGAAACAATAAAAACAATCACCAGTGGTTGCCTGAGAGGGTGACCAGGAAGGGATGAGGGGGTGGGTGGGCAGGGCTACTATTTTAATGTGGTTCAAGGGCAGCCCAGGTGGCTTAAGGATTTAGCGCCGCCTTCAGTCCAGGGCCTGATTCTGGAGTCCCAGGAATGAGTCCCACATCGGGCTCCCTGTGTGGAGCCTGCTTCTCCCTCTGCCTGTGTCTCTGCCTCTCTCTCTGTGTCTCTCATGAATAAATAAAATCTTAAAAAAAAAAAAAAAGACACACAGGTATTCTAAAGCTGAGGCTGCTAAAAGTGTTGCTGGTCAAATTTTGATCATCAGCCCCTGACAGTTCCAAAAGTTCAAGGTCTTGTAGAATCATGGCATCAGAATGAGTGGCAGCGAGCCAAGTGAGGCTGCTCCAGCTGCTAAAAACACTGTCTTTGATATTTGCTGAGTAAGGAAGTTTTCTTGCCTTGACCAATTTTCACCATAGTTGAAGACAGGCTATTGTGGGGGAAAGATGCCTGATAAAATTTATTTTAGCAGGGACTCCATGGGTAGGCCTGTTGTTTTTCTTTTAAGATTATTCATTCGTTCATTCTGAAGAGACAGAGACAGAGAGGCGGAGACATAGGCAGATGGAGAAGCAGGCTCCTCAAGGGGAGCCCCATATGGGACTTGATCCCGGGACTCTGGGACCACACCCTGAGCCGAAGGCAAACGCTCAACTACTGAGCCACCCAGGTGTCCCTGAGTAGGCCTGTTTTAAAGCTTTGTATGAGGGCAGCCCCGGTGGCTCAGCGGTTTAGTGCCGCCTTCAGCCCAGGGCCTATTCCTGGAGACCTGGGATTGAGTCCCATGTTGGGCTTGCTGCATGGAGCCTGCTTCTCCCGCCACTTGTGTCTCTGCCTCTCTCTCTGTGTCTCTCATTAATAAATAAAATCTTTTTTTTAATAAATAAAATCTTTAAAAAAATAAAAATAAAGCGTTGTATGAATAACCTCAGCAGTGTAAGTACATGTCAGAACTGAAAGCCTACATCTCTTTTGTTCCTTTCATCTTCAAGAGAAATGGGCTGATGAAGCAGACACTTGGAATCTAATAGAAGAAGAGCATCTAGGGGCTCGGCTTGGGTCATGATTGCAGGGTCCTGGGTTTGAGCCCTGAGTCAGGTTCCCACTCAGTGGGGAGCCTGCTTCTCCCTCCCCCACTGGAGCTCTCTCTCTCTCTCTCTCTCTCACTCTCTCACTCATTCTCTCTCAAATAAATAGAATCTTAAAAAAAAAAAAAAGAGCATCTTTGGGACACCTGGGTGGCTCAGTCAGTTAAGCGTCTGTCTTAAGCTCAGGTTATGATCCCAGGGTCCTGGGATCAAGCCCCATGTTGAAATCCTTGCAGTGGGGAGTCTGCTTCTCCCTCTCCTGCTGCGCTTCCCCCTGCTTGTGCTCATGTTCTCTGCTGTGTCTGCTTGTGTCTCTGTCTCTCTCTCTCTGTCAAAAGAATGAATGAAATCTAAAAAAAAAAAAACAGCTATATCTGGAATTGTATTATGTGATAGGCAATTTTCAAAGATGGCCCCCAGTGATTCTTCACCTTCTGATAGTCACACCCTTTTGTGATCTCTTTTTGAGAGTGGACTAGACCTAGCGATTTGCTGGTAATGAAGAGATTCTGTCAAAAGTGGTGGAATGTCACTTTCATAATCAGGTTACAGAAGACTGACTTTCATCTAGCTGGATTCTCTTTTGCCTTTTCAGCTTGTACACTTTTAAGATTTTATTTATTTATTTGAGAGAGAGAGAGAGAGAGAGAGGGCAGAGACACAGGCAGAGGGAAAAGCAGGCTCCATGTGGGACTTGATCCCAGGTCTCCAGGATCATGGCCCAGGGTGAAGGTGGTGCTAAACCGCTGAGTCACCTGGGCTGCCCTCAGCTTGCACACTTTGATGAAGCAAGCTGTCAGGTATGAGAGGCCCATGTGACAAGGGGCTGAAAGTGATTTCTGGTCAATAGCAAGGAGCCAAAGCCCCAGTCCAATGGCTACAAAGAACTTAGTTCTGCTAACCACCACATGGGCAACATTGAAAAGATATCCTTCCATAGTCAAGCCTTCACATGAGACCACAGCCTTGGCCAACAGTTTGCAGCCCTATAATTCCAACTAAGGACTCAGCTAAGCCACACCAAGATTCCTAACCACCAGAAATTGTGAAATAATAAACATTTAATTTTAAGTCACTAACTTTTGGAGCAATTAGTTATGCAGCAATAGATAACTCATACATCCTGGGACCAAATCTCCTCTTTCCTTAGGAGACACACTTCAGCCTTAGCAGGATTGATAAATGTTGGCAAGAAAATTCTTCCTTTTCCCAGAGTATTCCCTTAGCTTCATCTGGTTTTGCCATTGTTGAGCAAGTGTATTTCAAACATGGGAACATTGTTGTGGTCTTACCTCATTTGAGACAACCAATATTGTCATTCTCATTGTCCTCCAATGAGAAGGAATTAGAGATTTATTGTCTCTCTAAGGAGGCTACATTTTTTCTTGTGGGGACCATTGTAGTAGACACTTCATTCTGAAATTAGCCTAAAGTTAGTCTTTGACCCTTGGGGGTTGTCTAAAGAGGAATTCTCTTAGAGATAATTTTGTGGCAGCACATAAAGGGAACTTTGTGATGCATATGTGATCTCCCTATCTTCACTATTTAGTGAAATGCTCCCAAATCTTTTTTTTTTTTAAGATTCTGTTTATTTATTCATGAGAAACAGAGAGAGAGACACACAGAGAGAGGCAGAGACACAGGCAGAGGAAGAAGCAGGCTCCATGCAGGGAGCCCAATGTGGGACTCGATCCCAGGCCTCCAGGATCACACCCTGGGCTGAAGGCAGCACTAAACCACTGAGCTGCCCAGGCTGCCCAAATATTATATCATTTATGTTCTTTATTCAAAGAATCCAACTTAAATGGATTGGCTAGAATTAGAGTATTTGCAGGAATTCACAGGAGAAAGATTGAGGATATAAATAACTTTAAAAAGAAATGTTATAAGGATACCAACATTGTATTGGAAGTTCTAGCCAGAGTAATCAGGCAAGAAAAAGATATAAAAGGCATCCACATAGAAAGGAAGAAGTAAAACAATATCTCTTCACAGATAACATGATCTTATATGTGGGAAATCCTAAAGAATCTACCATTAAAAAAAATCCACCATAAACAAATTCAGCAAAGTTTCAAGACACAGGATCACACAAAAATCAATCGTATTTCTTTCTTCTTTTTTTCTTTTTCTAAGAGGGAGGGGCAGTAGGAAAGAGAATCCCAAGCAGGCTCCAAGCCCAGTGCAGAGCCCAACATGGGGCTCAGTCCCATGACCCTAAGATCATGACCTGAGCCAAAGTCAAGAGTTGGACTCTTAACCAACTGAGCCACTTAAGTGCCCCAAGAAACAGTGTATTTCTATATACTAGCAATGAAAAAATCCAAAAATGAAATTAAGAAAACCACTCCAGGGGCACCTGGGTGGCCTAGTCAGTTAAGTATCTGCCTTTGGCTCAGGTCATGATCCCAGGGTCCTGGGCTTCAGCCCCGCATCAGGCTCCCTGCTCAGCGGGGAGTCTGCTTCTCCCTCTCCCTCTGTGCACTTGCACTCTCTCTCTCAAGTAAATAAAATCTTTTAAAAAGAAAGAAAGAAAACCACTCCATTTACAATAGCATCAAAGAATAAAATACTTAGGAATAAATTTAACCAAAGAAAGGTAGAAGTTATACACTGCAAAACACTACTTCCAGAAATTAAAGTAGACCTGAATAAGTGGAAAGATGTTAATATTCATGAATTAGAAGTGTAAAGTGTAAAGATTAAGAGTGTAAAGATGGCAATATTCCCCAAATTGATTTATAGATTTAAAGTAATTCTACCAGAATACCAGTTGGCTTCTTTGTAGAAATTGATAAACTGACTCTTAAATTAATTACTCAAGGGACCCAGAATAACCAAAAGAACCTTGAAAAAGACAAAAAAGGTTGGAGGATTCACAGTTCCTGATTCCAAATCATTATACAAAGCTCCAGTGTGATACTGGCATAAGGATAGATATATGAGAATAATAGAATCAAATTGAGTGTCCAGAAATAAACCCACATAGCTATAGTCAACTGAACTTTGACAACGGTGCCAAGACCATTCAGTGGAAAGAACAGCCTGGGTTTTTTTTTTGTTTTTTGTTTTAGATTTTATTTGAGAGAGCAAGCAAGCAAGAGAGAGCACGAGCAGGGTGAAGAGCAGAAACACACTCTCCACTGAGCAGGGAAGCCTGATGCAGGGCTCCATCCGAGGACCCTGGAATCGTGACCTGAATCTAAGGCTGATGCCTAACTGACTGAGCCACCCAGACACCCCAAGAACAGCCTCTTTAACAAATGGTGCTGGGACACCCAGATATTCACATAGAATATGATGAAGTTGGACCCTTACATCACACTGTGCACAAGTATTAGGACAAAATGGATCGTAGACCTAAATGCAACAGCTAAAACCATAAAACTCTCAGAAGAAAATGTAGGGGTACATTCTAGTGGCCTTAGATTTGGCCATGATTTCTTCCATATGCCAAAACTACAAGCAAAGCAACAAAAAATATATATAAATTGGACTTGATCAGAAACAAAACAATTTTTGCATCAAAGGGCACTACTAAGAGAATGAAGAGTCCAGAATGTAAAAAAAAATATATCTATATATATATATGTAACTCATATCTGCTAGGTGTCTATATGCAGAATATATCAACAACTCTTACAACTTAACAAAAGGACAACTCAATTTAAAAGTAGGCTAAGAGGGGCAACTGGGTGGCTCAGTTGGTTAAGTGTCTAACTCTTTTTTTTTTTTTTTTAAGCGTCCAACTCTTGATTTTGGCTCAGGTCACGATCTCAGGGTCATGGGATTGAACCTGCATCAAGCTTCTATGCTGGGTGTGGAGCCTGCTTGGGATTCTCTTTCACCTTCTCCCTCTGCCACTACTGCCAAGTCCGACACTCTCTCTCAAAAAAAAAAAAAAAAAAAAAGGTGAAGAACTTGAATAGACATTTCTCCAAATGTAAACAAATGACCAAGTACATGAAGGAATGTCCAACATCATTAGTCATCAGGGAAATACAAATCAAAACGACAATAAGATACCATTTCACACGTACTAGGATGGCTGGAATTAGGGGGAAAAAATGAAGTATTGGTAAGGATGTGAAGAAATTGGAACCCTTGTATATTTCTTTTGGAAATGTAAAAATGGTGCAGCTACTGTGGAAAAAGATTTGGTGGTTCCTTGAAAAATTAACCATAGAATTACCATATGACATAATGCCACTCCTAGATATATATTCAAAAGAATTAACAACAGGTACTCAGATACTTGTTCAAGAATGTTCCTTTTTTAAAGATTTTATTTATTTATTCATTTTATTTAATTATTTAGATAGATAGATAAAGAGGCAGAGACACGGGCAGAGGGAGAGGCAGGCTCCATGCAGGGAGCCCAAAGTGGGACTCGATCCCAGGTCTCCAGGATCATGCCCTGGGCTGAAGGCAGCACTAACCCACTAAGCCACCTAGGGATCCCCTGAAGAATGTTCCTAATGGTACTATTTGCAATGGTCAAAACATGGAAACTAAGGATGCCTGGATGGTTTAGTGCCTTTGGCCCAGGGCGTGATCCTGGAGACCCAGGATCGAGCCCCACGTCGGGCTCCCTGCATGGGGCCTGCTTCTCCCTCTGCCTGTGTCTCTGCCTCTCTCATGAATAAATAAATAGAATCTTAAAAAAAAAAAAAAAAAAAAAAAGCATGAGCAGGGTGAGGGGCCAAGGGAGAGGCAGACTCCTTGCTGAGCAGGGAGCCTGATGCGGGGCTCAATGCCAGAACCCCGGGATCGCGACCCCAGCCAAACACAGATGCTTTACAGATTGGGCCACCCAGGTGCTG